GAGGTGATCTGGGAAGGGATCTTAACTTCTTTTTAGGACTCTTGATCCCCCATACTTCAGCAGTCTCTTCCCCCTCCTCGCTGACCCTGTTTCAGTTCCAGAGGGATGTGCTGCCCCGGGGGCTCCTATGACTTTGACAGGTGCTGCGGAGCAAATCTGGAGGGTTCTCTGTTTTCCCTCCTGGCTGCCTGGGAAGTAGATTTTGATGTAGCTCTAAGTCCTCCAAGTTGGTTACCAGGCCCATCAGCTTTCCAGATTCCAATTTTTTTTTTTTTTTTAATGTTGTCTTTTTCCCCCTGTCCTTGTGTTTTTCTGTACCTCTCATGTCCTTGTGTCCGTTTACTCTAGTATTTTAGGTCCTGGGGAGAAAGCAAATATTGATGGGGTGTTCTCTCTGTCAGGCTCGTTCCGTTTCTTGTTCACGAGGCATGTTCCTGAGATAAGTTAATAAGTTGTGGTCACACCACCTTCGCCATATGGCCTTGGGAAATGTCGAAATTGCTAAATGTTTGCATGTTCCGGATTGTAAAGGATTTAAGAGTTATTTGACTTGCTAACAAGGGAATGAGAAAACATCTTTTTTTTTATCTCTTTTTCATGCCTTTATAAGGAAATGTGAATTAGTAGGTGTTTTTACAAAGCATTTTTCCAGCTCAGAAAGAGAGTGTCTAGTCAGAAGTAGAATGTTCCCCCCCCCCCAATTTTATTACCACCATAATCCTCTCCAGGCTTCTTATAAAATTTTTGAACTGAGAGCTGTGTAATGCTTATTTTTCACTGTTAACGTGCTAAACAAAACTGTCCATCACTTACAGATCACTTTTCTTTCCTCGTTTTAAAAATTGTCTAAGATTAAAAGCCAATGTATAAAAGTAATAGCTACTTTAATAATCTAAGTAAGACTCTAATTAGAGAGGGTAAAGAGAAATAGCTAAATCGATACTCCTAGTTTTAGAATCCTCTATCAAAAGGGTTGGGCTTTTTGGGGGTTTTTAGAGTTCAGCTTTTTATTGAACGTGTTACAAAAGAGGTTTAATCAAAAAGACCAAAGCCCATGTCATCATCCAACTCCTCAGATTCCTCCTTCTTTGCTGGGGCAGCAGTTTTTGGAGGGGGCAGTCCACCAGCCCCTCCTTTGTAGATGAGGCTCCCCATGTTGACATTGGCCAGAACATTAGCAAACAAGCCTGGACAGAAAGGTTCAACATTTACACCAGGTGGTTTAATGAGGGCATTGAACTTATCCTCCGTCCCGGTCACCTCATTGTGGTCACCTCATTGTCATGTGGGATATGGTCCGAGAACACGCGGGCGACTCACAGGCCACGCAGTGGGCGAGTGCTGAGCGGGTGCTGCCAGGCATGGTGCTCGTGGCCGGATGTAGTGAAGGCCTCACCCCCGTGTGGCCTTGGCTTCCTCGGAAGGACCAAGCACCTTACTGACAGCTGGGAAAAGAGGTTCAAAGGGTTTTGTTAAACATTTTATTCTGGTTTTTAAGAGTGATGTATAATCCTTATAGAAAAATTGAAAATGTAGGAAAAAGAAATAATCACCTTTACTCTTACCACTCAGAGGTAATTACCGCATATATATATATATATATACACGCACATACACACACACATACATATATATATAGAGAGAGAGAGAGGGAGAGATCTGTATAGTTAATGTATCATTAACATTTTCCATGCTATTCTCCCAAAATAATTTTTAATTACTACATTCTCATTTGCTGGTTGGTAACCTTTTTCTGTAAAGGCCAGAAAGTATAATTTTTGGCTTTGCAAGCCATATGGTCTCTGTTACAGCTACTCAGCTCTGCTACTGTCATGTGAAAGCAGCAATCTATATTATATAAACAAACGAATGGGCATGAACTGTTTACCAAGACCAATTTATTTACAAAAACATGCAGCCCCAGATTTGGCCCATGGGCCACAACTTGCCAGCTCCTAGATATTTTTAAAAACTTTAAATTTTGACATAATTATAGTTCACAAAGTTTCAAAATAGTACAAGAGAGCCCATGCACCCTTGACCCAGTAACTACAGTGCAATAGCAGCACCAAGAAATATATGTGTGTTTAGAGTTCTGTACCATTTTATACATGTGTACCCACCACAACACACAGGACTATTCCATCCCCTCCGGGCCTTCTTCTTTCTACCCCTGTATAGCCACAACCCACTCCCCCCCCAACCATCCCTACCTCTTGGCAGTCACTCGTCTAATTTCCATCTCTATGATTTTGTCATTTTGAGAATGTTATACAAGTGGAGTCATCCAGTATGTGACCTTTTGAGACTGACTGCTTTCACTCAGTGCTGAGATCCATCCAGGTTGTTGCACATATCAACAGTTTTCCTTTCTATTGATGAGCAGTATTCCAGGGTATGGATGTAACAGGTTATTTAACCACTCACTCACCTATTGAAGGTTGTTTTGGTTATTTCAAAGAATTCTTTTAAGGTCCTAGGGCTTGCATATCCCATCTGATTCAGCATATTCTGTAACAAACACTGTAGACTTCATTGGTCTCCATGTTTGGGTCAACTGACTTGGGCAGGTATTCCCTTCTCTCCTTGCATTCAAGTTTCCAAGGTGAATGTCATTCAGAATGTAATGGTCCATGTATTTCAGTTGTTCAGTCGAATCCTATTGTATCTGTCATTATTTTAAATTCACTGTCATTATTTAAAAACTCATTGATTTAAACTAAAGGCTGTTGTTTCTGCTGGGACTTCCATTTGCTTTGCAGGTTAGTCCTGACTTAATATATCTATATTTATGGTGACAGTTGAATAAACAGCCTTAATACTTTTATCAGGTTCAAGTGTCAGTGTTACCACTTATTACCTATGGTCTTAGAGAAGTCACCTAACCTTGAATCTGCATTTTCTTATCAGTAAATAATAATAGTAATAATAACCCTGCCTCACAGGATTACTATGAGGAGCGAGTGAGATCACATAGGAAAAGTGTTTGGGGAACAGGAAAATGATATACAAATGTTAAAGTAACATTTATACAAATAAACCTTCATTGATGTTTTAGAAAAAGCAGCAGTTTTTTAAGTACAAGGAGTAGTTTTGATTAACAGGTAAGTATGTGGAGGGGTGGGATATCTTTGCTGGAAAAAAAAAAAATGAAGACCCTGTTTTGCAGAGTTAGAAGGCCAAAAGAACAGAGGATGAGTGGGTTTCTGTGTGCTGTAATGGATGACCTGTGTTGCAAATACAATACCATCTGGCAGATGTGAGAAGAAATCATTTAAGTCAACAATGTGTGTAATGAGCTGCCATCTGATTCCTGTTAATCAAGCCTTCCTTTTTAAACTGTCTTCCCTCGGTTTCCATGGCCCCGTTCTCTCCTGCTTCTCTTTCTGGCTTATCAGCATCATCTTCTTGGCCCTTAAGTACGGAGTTCCCTCGGGATCATCGCTGTGCTTCTCTTTCCATGACCTCTTCCCTGGCAATATCATGCCTTTACATCACTCTCCAAACAAAGCCTGCATCTGTGTCTCCAGCCCTGACCTCCCTCGTTTCCATCCTGCTGGCTGGCTAACTCTCTTTCAAACTCAGTATTTCCAAAGCTGAGGTCATTTTTCTTACTAAGATGGCCCTATTTTTCAAATTCTCCATCTCTATGTACAGCTCTACCCATCTTCTCCATCCTTGGGCATCTTTCTCTCTTTGCTATCACCCAGCTCCCCCCAAATCTAGTCACGCTGGTGAGTCTCTGACCACAGTGTCTTCCATTTCCTCTTTCCTTTCCATTGCAGGCCTACAACTTTAGCTTTCTTTTTTTTAAGATTTTTATTGATTTTTAGGCAGAGAGGAAGGGAGAGGGAGAGGGAGAGACAGAAACAGAGGCAGAGACAGAAACATCAATGTGAGAGCAGAACATCGATCAACTGCCTCCAGCACACCCCTACCCGGGATGGAGCTGCAACCAAGACATGTGCCCTGACCAGGAATCAAGCCAGCAACCTTTCAGTGCACAGGACGGTGCCCCACCAACTGAGCCACACCGGCCAGGGCTATGACTTCAGCTTTTTAACTAAAATCCTACCTTTCCTCCCCACCATCCATTCATCTTTCCTCCCTCTGTCGCATGAAATCTTCCACAGTTCAGGGTTTTCCTAACCCGTGTTCTTGATCGCTCCCCTGGTTTGTAGAAAAAAAGCCCAGATAATAATCTAACTCTAATATGAAATCTTCCCCATGATCAAACTGCTTTTTAAATCTTTACGTACACAACCCCAGATGAACAGAAAGGAAGTACTATGAAGTGAAACTCTGTTTTTAGAATTCCATAACGTTTTCCTTTTCTCGTGACACTTTGCTAACTTCACTTAATTTATGTGCATACTGTTCTTTTCTAGGCCGGACCCACGTATGGCTTTTCTCAATATTCCCACAGCGTTGCATGTAGCAGATATTTATGGAATGAGTGATTGGTCCTGTGGTGGAAACTCAATTCTTGTTTGGCCCATACATTCAACAAGTATTTATTGAGCACTTTTCTATGGGTCAGGTACTTTGAGGCATTGGGACATAGCGGGCCCAGTTTCAGCTTGTTTTTTTCTTTTACATTTAAGTTTACCCTTTTTTTTTTTTTTAACCCTCACCCAAGAATATGTTTTTATTGATTTGAGAGGGAGAGGAAGGGAGAGAGAGAGAGAGAAAAAGAGAGAGAGAGAAAGAGAAACACTGATGTGAGAAAGAAACATCTGTCAGTTGCCTCCTGTACTCACCCCAACTGGGGATCAAACCCACAACCTTTTGGTGTACGGCTCGATGTTCCTGCCCACTGAGCCACCCTGCCAGGGTGAGTTTATTCTTCATTTAACTTTTAAAATACTGCTCTGGTTAAGTATTAAAATAAAAGCAATAGCAGGCAGTGAACATTTGATGATTATAACCCTTCGCTCATTCACCGCTGCGTATAAAATGCCAGCAGAGCGCGTTACTCACTGGCCCCATCAGGAGGTCTGATGCTGAACGCGACCCCTAGGACGGTGGTCACCACTCTCATAGGCTTCTTCACTGTAAGGGCCCCTCTCTCCAGGTTTCCACCAACGTCCACCAGTCTCTTCCATTTCCTTCTTCTCAGGTAGGAGTTATTTTCCAGTAAAGATTGTTTATCGGGAGAGAGGAAGCCATTCTCAGGAAGGTCTGCCTCACATTCAGTGATGAGCGGACCTTTTCCCTGTGGCCCGACACACTGACATGCCTTCGCTGAGCACACCCGTAGCCCTTGCATTCTAGTAGGAACCCTCAGGACATTCCCATTGGATTAGTTATGACTCCATACGAAGGTACTAACTTTGTGCTTCTGTCTAAAGCAAAGCTATCAGGCAGACTGTTTAAGGATCCATTAAATAATGACACACTGGTGGCCTGAAGGTTACGGAGTTTACCTGTCTAGTGACACGAGAGGAAAACACAGGTGAGTTTACAGAGGATCTTTCTAGAAGAGAGAAGCCGTCGGTGGGGAGGGAAAGAAGAGTGAGGATCTCGAGCTCTTGAGGTCTCCAGTTAGTCATTTCTTCTCAGGCAGGCAATTCCATGAAACTAACATAATGTGCTCTTGGATCCTATACAGATGGCAATCAGGAGTTATTTCCCTGTGAAGTCTGTGGAAGACGCTTTGCAGCAGATGTTCTGGTAAACATAAAGACATTTTGTAGATGTGTTTCATTGGAGTTAAATGAACTGTCAAGTTAGTGAGGAGGCCGCAGTGGCAAAGATTGAAGACAGATGTGGAGGGAAAGCGAGGGGAGAGGAGCACAGAACCCGCGGCTGGCAAGACCGGGGGACACTGAGGCTGCCCGATGCTGCCCCATCCGAAGGGGAACTTATTAAACCTGGTTCTCTAACGGAAAGGATGCCAGAAAAAGTATCTTGGCACAGCTGAGTGTCTCATGAGAGGTTTTGGCTGTTTCTCCTTTTCTATAAGCATCAGAAATCCAAATTTTTAAGGCCCAAAGCACCAGGGAAATTAGCTAGTCGAGAGGAATGAACATTGAATTTGGAGCATCTGGAAACTTGGCTTTAAGCTTCAAATTTGTCACTAATTCTGACAAGTCCTTTAACTCCCCTCTGTTCCCTGCTTTGCCACGTATGAAGACAGCCCTCCGATTTCAGGGGCCTTAATGTAATTTGAACAAAATGAACGTAAGGCCTTTCTCAAGATTGAATTGTTAAACTAATTTCAAGCGAACTGCATATCACGTTTCCCGACGGATGCCTGTAAGGTGGAATAAAACTTGATTTAGTTCAAAGTTAGGGGATCAAACAGGCATTTAGACCCCAACATTATGAAAAGACTCCCAAGAAAAAAATGATTTAAAAAATTAAGATGATAATGCACTTGTTAGTTGGGACATTTTAGATCAAGGAGACTTACACTGAACTACAAGGGTTTGGACTATAAGCCTGACTACGTTTGAGGCAAAAGACGACAAAATGAGTTTCGTAAGTTTTATTTCTCTGGGGAATTAAAAACATGAAGTACCTGTTCTTTTAATTAAGTGCCGTTAGAGCTTCCTGAATCTAGAAGGGGCGCTCCAGGGCCTCTTGTGGCCTGTCACCCACCAGAGTGCTGCCTTGGCCTTGGCCTTGGCCTTGGCCAGCCCGGGCCACCCCGCCACGGGAAGGGGTTTGAGACCTAGGAGGTACCCTTTGAAGGGGGAACCACTAAATGTCAAGTACGTCTCGGGTGCCCTCAAGTTTTATTTCCTAGCCTATCTCTAGACTACAGAGAGCATCGGATCAACTGATCTGGTCTTTCTGTCTCTCTCCTTTAGTTTCAAATGGTATGGCTTGTTTATGGACAGGTGCAGTGCTTTCCCATGGGTCTGTGTTTTGTTGGGTCTGGACAAAGCAGCTATGTAAGTGACAGCTCTTATGAGTTACACAGCCACCAAGGAAGACGATTTAGAGCAGAAGGCGAAGATGTTGGTAGAACCTCACAGTGGTGCCGTAACAGACTCTGTAAAGATGGTACAGGGGCAGGGCTCAGTGTGTTGGTTCCCTGCTCTCAGTACCAGAAAACCTGAGGACTGCCGGATGGAGAAAGAATGTTTTCCCTGCCGATCGTCTTGGAAATACTGTAACAGTTTTAAATTGAATATGATCAGCTTAGATTTGCTCGGAAACTGAATGACTTCCCTAATCATGTGGAACGTTCGGGTGAATTCAAGGAAAGCGTTTTTATCACTTAAACAGAATCAGTGTGTCTTCATGCATTTGTGTGGTGGTTCCAGTTGTCTTTTGCAGATGTTCTCAACTATTTCTCTGAAACCTCTCCGCTCCTATTCAGGAGTTAAGTGGTTTAATTTGCTGTATGCAGAAAAGTGGCCCATTTAAACTCAATTTTGAAATGCTGAGTGGGAAAAAGTGTTTTTCTGAGAAAGTTCTATTGGTAGGAAACTATGTTTCCCCTTGCGGTGTGCAAAGGGCTATTTCAGAAAGATGATAAAACCGAATATTAAGGTTGTTGGGATTCAGATTTCCTGTTCTATTACTGGATAGCTTGCTTTTGAAGGCAGGAGACAATGGAAGAAGTAATCAGCAAAACTTCATTGGTTTCCGTGAGTACCTGAAAATGGCTCAACGGTCAGAAATATTTATTTCAGTTTCAGCTACAAAGTTTGTCTTTTCAACATTAGTGAATGCTTACAAGAACCATTCAAACAGCCCAAGTGGTAGAGTTAAATGTGTAAAACCAAATTTGAAGTAAGTCTCTCTAGCTGTAGAGACCTTTTATTGACCTTGACCAAACATAATATCTAGTTATGTGTAACATGGGTGGGGGGAGCCAGATGGATTTGCTCTGCTGTGATTTGAGAGTTGGAGAATGAACTTGGCTCTGAAGGTGCAACTCAGTCACTGTAGTGGGAGCTGGCTGAGTACACTGCAGCATTACAAACTTGGTGATTTGTACATTTAAAAAAAATTAATCCCCACTCTTTCTTTTCTAGGAAAGGCATGGACCAATATGTAAAAAAATCTTCAACAAAAAGCGTAATCCTTTCAATTCCTTGAAGCAAAGATTACAGGGCACTGACATTCCCACTGTGAGGATGTCTCCTCAATCCAAGGTATTAGCAGTATCTTCCTTACTGTTCTTGATTACAGCCTTAAGTACATTAAAGCCTCTTTCTGGCTCTCTGGTTTCATTCCTGCTCGATAGAGCAATGTAAAGTCATGTAAGTATAATCCACCTTTACTGTTTTCTTTTTAATCACGCTCACTGAGATTTCCAAATGTATTTCAGATACTTTCCAGATGTGGCAAAAAAGAATCTTGTTTATACTTTCATTAGAGTAGCATTAAATCTGGCAATTAACTTGGAAGAAAGTCACTTTTAATCTTACATTTAAGTCTTCCTTTAAAGTTTTGTAGTTACTTTGTTTTCTGATTGTTATTTTGTGTTTTCCTTCACTACTGTGACTTGTAAGTTTTATTACTGTATTTTCCAAACCTCTTTTAGTACTTTTGAAAAACAAATTCACCTTCCCTCTCCAAATCTCACAGTCCTGTTTCCTGTAAATTCAAATCCCAGCTGCAAAAGAAAAAAGAAAATTATAATGGAGAGATATATAGTCTAGGTTAGTATATGTTGGTTTTATTTTTTTATAGCCTCAGCCTGTGAGAAAAGCTAACTGGAGACAACAACATGAAGACTTTATTAATACAATTCGATCAGCAAAGGAGTGTACCCTCGCCATGAAAGAAGGGCGGCCTCTCCCGCCTCCTCCCCCTGCGTCCATCAACCCAGGTGTGTGGCCAGTTTGAGTTGCTTTTGACATTCACTCTTAACCACTTGAGGCTCTGCTTAATTTTTGGACAAATTATCATGCCTTGCTTCCTCCTATTTACTCTAAAAGTAGCACTAGGAATTAAATTATATAAAAGTAATTTTATCACACAATTGATCTTGTCTTTTTTTTTTTTTCAATTCTGCCTAAAGATTCTGTTTCTTTCTAACCCTGTACCAGTGTCATGGCATTGCCTCACTCCAGGGGGCGCCGTTTGCATCGTGGTTCATGAGGATGGAGCTGGGCAGAGCAAGTGAAGCAATTGCACAATAGTTCCCCAATGTCAGATACCTACAGCACTTTTTTACTTTTTGAGATACAATTCCCATAATATAAACTTCACCATATTGACCTTTTTTTTTCATCCTCACCTGAGGATATTTTTTCCATTGCTTTTCAGAGAGAGTGGAAGGGAGGGAGGGAGAGAGAGAGAGAAACATCGATTGGTGTGAGAGAGACACATATCGATGGGTTGCTTCCCTCTCTCACCCCGGACCAGGGCTGGGGGTCAAGCCTGCCACCAAGGCGCATGTCCTTGGACGGAATCTAACTCGGGACACTTCAGTCCCTGGGCCGGTGCTCTAACCACTGAGCAAAACCGGCTAGGGCTAACCATTGTAAGCTGTATACTTTAGTGGCCCACGGATTTTTTTACCCTAAACTTTTTATTTTGAAAATTTTCAAATCTACAGAAAAGAGGAAGGAATAGTACAATGATCACTCAATATACCTTCCACTGAAATTGGACAGTTGTTGACATTGTTGTCATATTGTCTCTCTTTTTTTTTTTTTTGGCAGAACTATTTAAATATATTTTTTTAATCCTCACCTGAGGATATGTTTTTTTATGACTGATTTGAGAGAGAGAGGAAATGAAACAGAGAGAGAGAGAAAAAATCATCGATCAGTTGCCTCCTGTACCTGACCAGGGACTGAACCCCCAACCTAGGTATGTGCCCTGCCCGGGAACCAAACCTGCAACCTTTTGGTGCACAGAATGACGCTCCAACCAACTGAGCCACCCGGCCAGGGCTCGGCAGAACTATTTAATAGTAACTTTCAAAATTTATGACACTATTTCAGTATGCATTTGCTAAGTATAAGTACATTTTCCTGCATACCACAAAATGATTATTGCACTTAACATATAGACTCATATTTTCCCAATTTTCTTAAGAATGTCTTTTAAAGCTCTCTTCTCATCCCCCAGCCACAATCCAAGATTCATTCAAGGTCTATGCATTGTCTTTTGTTGTTTATTTAGTCTCTTTTAATCCTGCACAACACCCCGACCTGGCCGATTACCTTTTAGAATTTCTCATGTTCTGGATTTGTCTGGGTTTTTGTTTTTGTCATGTGAGTGTTTAACTTGTTCTTCTGTCCTCCATCTCTCCATAAATTGGAAATTAGAGCTAGATGCTCAATAGATTAATATTAATATTAATCCCTTACCACATACAGGATTTTCAAATATTTTCTCCCATTTTGTGAACTATCTTTTCGCTCTCTTGATGGTATCTTTTGATACAATAACGTTTTAAATTTTGAAAAAGTCCAACTTATCTTTCTTATTGTTGTTGCCTAGCTTTTGATGTCAAACCCCCCCCCCCCAATTATTGCAAAATTCAATATTGTAAAGCCTTTTCCCCATGTTTTCTTTTAACAGTTTTATGGTTTTAGCTCTTACACTTAGGTCTTTGATCCAGGTTGAGTTAATTTTTGTATGTGGTGTAAAGTAAGATCCAAACTTCATTGGAAGGTGGATATCTAGCTTTACATGTGGTTATCTAGTTTTCTCGGCACAATTTTTTGAAAAGGCTGTTCTTTCCCCATTGAAATGTTCTGGTACCATATCAAATGTCAATTGACCGTATGTGAGACGGTTTATTTCTGGGCTCTCTCTTCTATTCCATTTGTCTATATGTCCCTCTTTCCTAATGCTAGTACAACGCTGTTTTGATTAGCATAGCTTTGTAGTAAGTTTTGAAAGCAAGAAGTGCAAGTTCCCCAAGATTGTTTTGGCTACTTGGGGAACTCTGAGTTTTCATATTAATTTTTAGAATTTTTTTTTTTAATTCCTGAAAGTGACATTGGAGTTTTGATAGGGACTGCATTGAATCTGTTCATTGTTTAGGTATTGTCTTCCAATCCATGAACATGAGATGTCTTTCCATTTATTTATGTCTTCTTTAATTTCTGTTAGCAACATTTTATAGTTTTCAATGTATGAGAGTCTTTCCCATCTTTGGTTAAATTTATTCCTAAGTATTTCACTCTTTTTGATGTTATTGTAAATGGAATTATTAACTTTCTTTTCAGATTTTTCGTTGTTAGTGTATAGAAATACAACTGACTTTGTGTATTGATTTTGTATACTGCAACTTTGCTGAATTTTATTAGCTCCACCAGTTGTTTTTTGGTGTGGAATCTTTACGGTTTTCTACATATATGATTACATCATTTGCAAAGAGAGATAATTTCACTTCTCCCTCTCTAATTTGTATGCCTCTCATTTCTTGTGTCTAAATCTTCTGGCCAGAACTTCCAATACTATGTTGAATAGCACTAGCAAAAGAAGACATTCTTGTCTTGTTTTCCACGGAGAATAATGTTAGCTGAGGGTTATAACTGACTATTTAAGCATAAATAATAGCATATTGTGGGGATTATAACATGTGGAAGTGAAATGTATGAAACCAGTAGGACAAGGTTGAGGAAAACGGACATACCTTGTTGAAAGGTCCACATTATACAGGAATAGGTATAGTATTATTGGATGATAGAGTATTATATTGTAAAGATGCCTATTATAAACCCTAGAGTAAACACCCCAAAATGTTGACATATAGCTAATAAGACAATATATGGAGTGGAGATAAAATGAAAAAGAAAAAAAAACAACCAACCTCATTCCAAAAGAAGACAGAAAAATAGGAAAATGGAACAAAGGACAGATGGGACAAAGAAAAATATCAGGATGGTAGACTTCGAACTAATTCTATGGACAATTGTATGGAAATGACCTAAAACTTCAGATAAAAGGCACAGATTGTCAAACTAAATAAAAAAGCAAGGTCCAATTGTATTCTTTCTACAAGAAACACACTTTAAATATAAAGACACAAATAAGTGGGCCAGGCAGATAAATTGGTGGCCCCATGGGCCAGGAGAGGCAAGGCCCTTCCTAAGGGACAGCTAGCAGCCACTGCCTCAAAGCAGCGCACACCCAAGGCTGCCAGATCTAACTTCTCAGAGGATGGCAGAAATGCAGATTTCCTGATTTATAAATAGAAACTCAACTCTTTAGAATCTTCAAGTTTGAATCTCAGGTTAGAAGTAAAATGCTGGTTTTCTTGGAGGGTGAGAAGGACCAGGAGGGAACACACGGGGCATTGCTAGGGACATTGTGTCTTATCTGGGCTGGTCGCATGGGTGTGTGTGGTTTGTGAACATTTCACAGAGCCATACACTGATGAATTGTGCCTTTCCTCTCAGATAAAAAGGTAAAAAGAGAAATAAACACCAGCAATGTCAAAACGACTGTTGACTAGCATGTTTAAAGCATGGGAAAAGATACACATCCAATAATAATCATAAAACTGCAGTGGCTAATAGTAATATCAGGCAAAGTAAACTTCAGGGCAAGTATGGTTAGCAGAGATCGTGATTAAAAGATATATTCATCAAGAAGATCTATCAGTCCTAAATGTTTATGTACCTAGTGACAGAGCTTCAAAGAAAATGAAACAAAACTGATAAAACTGGAAGGAGAAGTAGGAAAATTCACAATTATATTAGATTTTATCATTCCTCTCTTAGTAACTAATGAAATAAGCAGCAGGAAAATCAGGGATATAGAAAACTTGAACAACAGTATCAACCAGTTTGACCTAGTTGACATCTGTGACTATACTGTGACACAGCAAGAGCAGACTATAATTCTTTCTCTTCAAGTGCATATAGAATTTTCACCCATAGACCACATGCAGGACCACAAAGTGGGTCTACAAGTATTAAATCTAAAAGGATTAAAATCATACAGACTATGTTATTTGACCACATTAGAATTAAATTAGAAATTTTTACAAAATAAGCAACTCATTTATAAATAACCCATGGATCTAAGAAGAAATCACTAGAGAAATGAGAAAATATCTTGAATTGAATGGTAATAAAAAAAATATCAAAATTGGTGGGATTTAGTTAAAGCAGCGCCTTGAAGGAATTTTATAGCTTTAAATGTTTATATTAGAAAAGGAAAAAGTTTAAATCAATTACCAAGATTTCCTGGATGCTCAACCACTGAGCCATACCAGCTGGGCTGAACTGGTATTTTCTTAAACATAGACTTAACTCTATAGCAACGCCAATCCTGGTTATTTAGGCCAAAAAATGGAAACACCTCTTTAAAAAATTAATATTCATAGCAACATTATATAGCATAAACTGGAACAGACTGAAAATGTCAATCAACAAGGGAATGGATAAACAAATTGTGGAATATTTACAAAGTGGAACACAATTCAACAGTAAGAAGAAATTGCTACTATACATGCAGCAGCATGGATGTTCTACTATATGAAATTATAGCATCTTTAATGTCTAAAATAGATCTTTGGTTCCCTGAGACTGGGTTTGGGGCAATATTGCCTGAAAGGGTACAAGAAAGCTTTCTCAGGTGATGGAATTGTTCTATATTTAATTGGGGTAGTTACACAAATATAAACATTTGTTAGAATTCATTCAACTGTACATTCAAAATAGGTGCATTTTATTGCATGTAAATTATTTCTCAAAATTTATTTTTTAAAGTTCAAAAAACTACTGTATAATCACGCTATAAAAATCATCTGAAAAATAAGTCATTTGAATATCTTTACCAGATAATAATTTTAGCAAGTGCTTCACTTTTGCTGGGTGCTAATGAGAATGCAGTTAAAATAATGTGTTGTCTTAAGATGTTCAGTAAAAGAGCTACGGCCATGATTTTGATAACGATTTGGCAACAAGCTTCACATAACAAAACAACTTTTATGAGAAATACTTTATTTTAATAGCAGAAGCTCTAGGGTTGGGCGACTGCTTATGGTTCGTTAGTTCAATAAGTGAAACCATGTCAGATGTCCCGCTGTGTGAATTTCTGTCATTTTCACATTGAATTTAAAATGCAGGGATTATTTTCTTAAATAAATAATTCCCTATGTAAGGCCTAATCAAACATACAATTTATTTCTCTGCCCTTTACAGTTTCATGCTAAAATATAGTGTTGTAATTGTTTCCTGTGTCCTTACTATACTTGTATGCGCCAAACAAAATTATTATATACAATAGCACATTTTAATTACCGTTCAGTTTTGATTGTTTGGGGACTTTATATTAGCTCATATAGTCTCAGGCTTAAATAGTAGGCAATGTATGGAGCCATCACTAGAGTTACATATTATATAGCCTAGGATGCACAAGTTTGCAAGTAATTTCCTTTTTTTTTTTTTTCCCCAGCATGATTCCCTTTCTCATGACTCAGTTTTTGTGACATGTATATATTTATTCTAATTCTTACTGAGTTAAGTAGGTCTGCCAATCATTCAACTTTCCCAGATGTCATAAGAGTTTATGGGGATAATGATATTGAATATTTATAAGTGGGATTTTCTCTGAGGCCTGGGACATTGGGTCACCATTGTCACAGGGCTACATAGACATGTGTACTCAACAAAATGCTTGCATTTTAAAATGATGCTTGCTTTTCTACTTTCACTTATTTTTAATGAGATCTGACCATCCTCCCCATAGTCCTTATAAGAATCCATCTGTAGTCAGACTTTTTAATTTAAATATGTTTTTATTGCTTTCAGAGAGAGGAAGGGAGAGATAGAAACATCAATGACGGGAGAGAATAGAATCATGTATTGGCTGCCTCCTGCACGCCCCCTACAGGGGATTGAACCCAAAACTCAGGCATGTGCCCTGATCAGGAATCGAACCCTGATCTCCTGATTCCTGGGTCGACGCTCAACCACTGAGCCACACCGTGCCAGGCTGTAATCAGACTTTTAAAACCACCATCTATTGAAATCAGTAACCCAAAGTGATTTTTATAGCATTGTGACTGATAGAGGAAGAGATGGCTCAGGCAGAGATGAGAGTAGAGCATGTAGCTCAGTCACGCTGTGTTCAGATTATTGTTGCTGAAAAATCCCTTTCCGTCCTCAGAGTGGTTGAGGCTCCCTTTCTCTGCCCCCTAAGTTAGGGCTCCTGGGGGACCCAGCGCCGCCTCCTTTTACAGCCTACCTCGCAGACGGTGACTGTCCGCTCCTTCACCGCGTCCTCAGTCCCCTCTGAGTCTACTGGCCGGGAAATGCACTTCCCGTCTTGTCTCCGTGGTGGCATCTAGTGCCACACGCACAGACGGGCAGCAATGAACGAGCGAACAAGCGACGCCGTGGTGGCCATAGTCCCCTCTCTGCCTGCGCTCAGCCGGGTCTATGGTGGCAGCGTTTCTGATGGAAGCCTTGACTTTCCAGCCGGTAAAACTGAAGAAATACCCACCCAGCCACGGGCCGAGTTCTGGATGGTTTCCCACGCCGCTGTGAGTTCTGCAGGATAATGACACCTTGGGCTTTACTTTTTCTAAGTAGTTTCACTCTTGCTGGATAGTTGGAAACACAAGCTCGCTGGGCCTGTTTCCTGACAGCAATGGTGTGCTCGCCCCCGCCCGCTGTGCCAGCCCTGGTGGGGTTATTTTAGTGACCTTTCACAACAGCCCGATGAGGTAGGTGATATGTGGGTACTGGGGAAATCGAAGCTTAAGGAGGTTGAGTAACTTGCCCAAGTTCACACACAGCAAGTGAAGCGCTGGGGCTGAAAACCAGTCGGGCAGGCGTCAGAGCCTCCACCGTTTCCCAATGCTGCCCTATTTTATTTTTTTCAAGGAATTTATCACTGTGGGAAAATGGTGTGTCTGTATTGGAATGCCTAGGCCTTGGTTACAGAGACATCGTATGTATCACCTGGCGCAGAATAGGTGTTCAATATGTACTGGGTTAATCATGAAGCACTGCCTTCCAGAGTGAATAAAAGGTTAGGGTGAGCGCTAATCTCTTATTTCTTCCCAATTTCTTCCAACCCTTACATTTTATGAATGTTCACTTTAGGAAATGATTTGTTAAAATGGAAAGCTCCCCAAAGTGCTTTACAAATAGTTTTCAAAAGACTTAACTTTGAAGACATCACTGCCTTAAATATCCATCCACACATGTAGGAATCATATATTTTTTTAAATTTATCTTTATTGTTGAAAGTATTACAAATGTCCCCCTTTCCCCCTCAT